CAAAATTTGGAGTGGGTGTCACAAGTGCAACAGCAGAGGTACCGGATATGGACAAAGGTATGAAAATAGATGGTGCTGATATTGAGATTCCTGAAGAGGTTCTTGAAGTTGGCGTTGCAGCACCCAGCACTGAATTAAAAGAACCTTCAATCTCCTTGAAAACCAGTGGATCGGAACCTGAAGGAAAAGGAAGTAAGTTCAAACTGCCAAGTCTTGGATTGTCTGTCCCTCAAACAAAAGTGCCTGGCATTGATTTAAGCTTATCGAAGAAAGATGTAGATGTTACAGTTCCAAAAGCCAAAGCTGACAAAGCTGGTAAGGCCCCTGACGAAGATATCAACATTGATGTTCCCAGAGTTGATGTCATACTACCAGAAGTCAAAACAGATGTACATCTTCCCGATACCGACCTTAAAGAATCCTCACATATTACCATAGAGGGGGGAACCGATACAAACCTTGAGGCTAAATTGAAAAAGCCAAGATTTTCATTGCCAAAAATTTCATTTTCCAAGCAAAGTGTAAAAGACCCTGAAGTTGATATCAGTCTCCCAAAAACTGATGTTATTTTTCTGCAAGGTGATATAGTCAAACAACCTGACAATGAGTTCAGTATGGAACTAAGTGATGTGAATAAAGGCATTAAAATTGATGCAGCACCTGGCATTAACTCTGAAGCTGTAGCTGTAGATGTGAAAGCTAAAGGAGGTGAGATATCTGGAAGCAAGTTTAAAATGCCAAATCTGGCCATCTCAATGGCCAAAGTTAAAAGTCCTGAAACAGATTTAAGTTTATCAAAGAAAGATGTTGATATTTCCTTACCAGAGGTAACAGCTGACATCAAACTACTCCATATTGAAGGCAAAGAAACTGAGGGTTCTACTTCATTACCAGAAACACCTACAATTGAGGCCGAAGTCAAGTCAAAACGACCAAGTTGGACATTTCCAAAATTTTCCTTTTTAAGGACAGCCGATAAGGCCCCAGCTATTGATGTCAAAATTGAAACACCCAAAGCTGAGATTATATCAAGCAAAACAGAAGTCTGTCTTGCAGAAGCTGAAATCAAAGGACCTTCAATGGAAGAACCACCTGCTGAAGAAACTGAAACAAACTTGAAAAAACCTAAATTTTCACTTCGGAGATTTTCTTTTTCAAAGTCAGGTATTAAAGAATCGGAGTTAAGTGATGAGCTTCCACAAGCTGATGTTTCTGTTTCAGAGGGAGAAATAAAAGTTAAACAACCTGAAATGGAAATTAAAGCTTCTGAGCAAGAAGCTGGGCAAGGAAGCCCATTTAAGTTCCCAAAGTTAGGCATTGTACAAACAAAACCAAAAGGACCTGAAGTGGATTTAAAATCATCAATAAACAATGTCGACAGCAAACGGCCAGAAATAAAAGCAGAGGTCAAAATCTCAGAAGAAGTCAAACAATCTTCATCTAGTTTGGGAATCAAGTCTTCTGAGACTAAAGCAAAGTCAAAAGATGCTGAAGGATCCCCTTTAAAACAAAAAATTTCACCACTGAAAATGCCAAAATTTAGCAGTGCTTCCTTTGACGTTACCATGGAAGCACCCAAAACAGCGCAAGTAATTGACATTCATGGATCTAAACCTAAGGAGGATATTTCTGTCACAGACAAAGATTTGATTGTTAATATTAAAATGGATTATTCCAAAGGTATAATATCAGAATCCGAAACACCCAAGACTGAGACTGATGTTGTGGGTCTTCCATCACCAAGTAAATTCAAACTACCATCTTTTAAAATGCCCAGGCTTAGCTTCTCAAAGTCTAAACCTGAAGAGGAACAGCTTCCTGCTGAAATAGAAGATAAAGAAGCTCAACTGGAAATGGAAGTTGAAACAAAAGGAGAAAGTAAATCACCAAAAATGATTCTGACATCATTTGGTGAGATCCTAAAGACTATTGATGTTGAATTTGATGTTTCAAAAGCAGACCAAGTTGAAGAAAATCTTGTAGTCTCAAAAGAAGTTAAAGAAATAGGCGAACATGCTGGAAAGCAATTAGAAGCAAAGGAAAAAGGAGCAAGTACCATACAAGATATGTCCAAGAGTCCCGAGAGGACAGGTTGGTTTAAATTTCCTAAGTTTGGCCTGTCTTCTCCTTCAGAAGCCCCCAGTGCTCCTGAGAAATGTGAACAAAAGGATGAAAAGAGCCCAGTAGGGGGAACAGGGGACGAGGAAATTAGCCCCACCTTTTCTGTCCAATCATCGGATGCCTTTGCTGATATAAGTTCTGCAGTCACAAGTGAGCATGTTGGCCCATCCATATCTTCCCCAACAAAGGTAACTGTCAAATATTCTGATCCAAATGTTGCTACTGAGCTTGAAGAGACACACAGTAACATCTTTACTTCAGCCATGAGGACTGAACTGATCTCAGTTCAGCCTAACTTACCGGAGAAAATCACTATTCTGTCCTCTGGAATATCATCGTCATCAGAAGACACGTGCAGATTGGAATCTGGAAAACTACACGTCATTACAACAAATATACAAGCAACCCCAGAAGCACAGCATGCCCAGTTACTAACTGAAATTGAAGCTGAATTAGCTGAAGGCCTTCCCTTAAAATCAGAAGCTAATGAAACTACATCACGGACTGTGGAAGGCTCAGACAGTGGCAACAGAGCGGTGTTTGAGAGGCACTTAGTGACGAAAACCTCAACTGAAAGAAGTGAAAGCAGAGAGACAATTGTTATAACCAAACAAATTACTCATGTATTTGACTCTTCTGAGCCCATCTCTGGTGAGACAGCGTCATCTATACAGCGACTGAGAGACTCTGTGCACTCTGAGAAAATGAGGTTCTTTGACGATGCTGAGAAGTGAGACAACTGGAAATAATTCATGTGTAAAGATACTATTTCTCTTTGCCTAGACCTGAATGTCAGAGGAGACAAGTGAATGAAAACATGCTGGAAACTGGGAAAGGAAGTTAGCATGTTTAACTTACCGATCACAGAGAACAATCTGTCAGTGTTCAGGCATTACAACATGATGGTGATGTGCTGTGCTATGATGCTGACCTACAAAAAAAATATGCATTCCTGTAATTCACGCTGACAGTCTGTTGAAGATACTAACAATGTGTATAACTGTGTCCTTACTTCAAATTATAGCAAGGCCTTAGCAAATATCCTTGCTTTAGATGCAGAATGTTTGACTTTTGCTTACCAAAATCTCTAAAACTCATTTTGCAGTTTTTCACTATTGACTAATTTACTTGTGTGTGTACTTTACAAAATGATAATCACCAGTGCCGTCAACTAAAATTTCTGACTGTTTGAGACTGATGCAAAAATCAATTTATTTTACTGACATTCCAAATTGTGTTTACAGTAATTTCACTATAATGCTTACAGTATATACAAACTACAATAGCATAATGCAGTTAAGATAGAACAAAGAATATGTACGTATTGCACCAAGATACTGTTGTCGCTGTAGCTAAAATGTAAAGAGACAATAGCAATGCAAAGCTGAAATGAAAAGCGTATGATCAAACACAGCAAATGTACTGCTAAAATTATATTTTTTATTAATACTTTGCTACTTTGAACCTAATTTGCCACACTAGAAATCTGTCTGGACTCTGTTTTCTTTCCATATCTCTGTACAAAGTGGGGCTATTGAACCGGCTATATAAATAGCTTTTAAAGACCTTTGGAATTTTATTGGATTACCGCTCGTGTTTGTATTCTGATAGGCTTTAACTTAACTTGTTTGCAAAGTTATAGACAATAAATGCTATTATATCCAAAACTATGTTTGTGTGTGTGTTTGTGTGTCTATAGTGAAATTAATAAAAAGCACAGTTTTCAATCTGTAGTCAATACGTTTGCACACTAGATGGAGACAAAGTTCATAACTATGGTAACATCCATCCATCCATCCATTCGCTTCCGCCTATCCTTTTCAGGGTCGCGGGGGGCTATGGTAACATATCATCACGAATATGCTTCATATTATATACAGATAATTCACAGTTTACTGTGTGAATAAGTCCCTGTGCACAGTGTGAAACTTCTGTGTTAGCTTAACTACAGATTTCCTTGTTATGGGCTTCTTTACAGCAATTGAAATTCCTTCACGAACCTCATTTAAATATCATGAAATATACAGAACAAGAAAAAAAGCTTCTTCCACTCCAACTTTGAAAATGTAAAACGTATCAGTGTACCTTACAGTTACACCATAGGGTGCCAACTATCAAGCCCTCACTCGTTGTCTGTGCTCACCGAATTGTTATGTGCTGCCTTCAAGAGCGTCCCGTCACTTCCTTCTTTCTTCCGGAAACGATGTTAAAATTATTGCTGGTGCAGGTTTCTCGCGTCCTGTGTTTCACAGAGAAACTGCATGTGTATAAAATTAGACCCTAATCACGTATTGGCCATAAATGTGCCTCACAGCATCAAAATATTCATCAACTCTAATTTAAACATAGTTTGTCAAATGGAAATATCCAACAGACTCTTGTAGGATATTTGAAATGAATGTGTCTTGCAAGTCGTTTTTCTTTGTCATCTAAGAAACATCAACTACACGTATGTGGACATGTGTATCAATAATATGTACATCATAAAGTTGTATCCAAATTTATTTCATAACCATGTTCTTTTAAAAGAACTTACTGGTGTCTATCTTTCATCTAGACACTGAACCTATTTGCAGTGACTATTTAAGTCTCAGAAACATTAAACCATCTACATCAGGAATGCCAAACTTATTTTATATCCTGGGTGACTCAAACATAATAAATATAGTAGAGAGTAAAAAAGGGTAAAAACCCTTTCTGCTATTTTATCTATTATTTAACTACTATGGAAATGCATGGCGATGGGGGAGATCTGCATCAATAGGAAAAGCTGTTAAACTATAATACAGTTAAGTTCAATCTCTTTGACATTTTCCAAAAGCTTTCCAGTTGCTTGGATTGGAGTCTTTCCCTGGCTG